TTCACTTTTTACCAGGCCCGGGAACTCAAACAACTATCACATTCCAGGCTCTATCTCTTGACTATCGAAGGTATGTCTGTGAGGTTTGGAGTGACAAGCATTACTTATTTCTTGCATTTCCGAATTAGCAAGTATAATAGCTATCTTTTGCTGAACCTTTTGATCGAGGTCCATTGGCAGGCATCTTCTAAGGTGGACATTCCTTTATGAAGTTTACCGCAAAAGGAAGTCGGGGGAGGAGGGGGAGGGGCCGCCGAATGGGTACTTTCAGGGGGGTGGGTCGCAATTGAGGGTCCCGGATCGCATCAACACTCTTGATCCTGTTCAAAACTCGAGCAACGTGACTTGGAAGTAAGCTTCATAACTCGTGAAAGTATTGAAGGAATTTTCTTAAAATAAAAGTTCGTTAGATAAAAAGTATGTTTTATAGGTGCCCCTTTTTCGTCTTCTGTGGAGGGATTGTAAAGATGGTGTTTATGACTACGACGTGCGCTACATTGACACGAGCTGCCGCGTTTACAAATCCGCGCAAGATTGGAAGGACAACAATAGCTTACCAATGCTGAAATATTGCTGTCCGAAGTGTCTCGTTTATTCCTGCTCCGAATCTTACGTAGATTGCCCAGACTCTTATGAATGTGATTTCGACGCTGATAAAGATGTTGTGTTGGAGTACGACACATCGCCAGCATGCAATCTGTCGGCACGATTAGGGCGCATTGGAGATGTCGTCTTCTCAGCGACAGCCATAACCGTCGGACTCGCGTCAATGTTCACTCCCGCTGGGTTCATTGGTGCGCCCACGCTGTTGACCATCGGGGTTTCAAGTGGCGTCTATGGCGCTGGCCGCGCTATAGGTCGGCTCATGGATAAAGGTACAGAAGCTCCGGATGTATAATTTTGAAGTGAATTTCGAAATCACACTGATATATTGGTTTAAAGGCTCCCACAACGAATCGTTGAGCGATCTCGAAAGCATCCTCTTGTTCCTTGCTATCGCAGCTTCTCCGTTAAATGTGCTGACCGGCTTTATGAACGCGCGTCTTGCCGCAGGTCAGTTAGATTTTGCTACGGACTTGAAGGCAATATTTGATGGCTGCCGTTAAATTATTGTCTTCAAGTGGGGAATTGTGGGAATTTCAGTGGAGATCAAGTAGTCAAGGTAGCTCTTATAGTATCATTCCCAAGATTCTGAGCATACGTGACGCCGATAAATTGCCACAGTACTGTCTTCGATAAACCGGTCCAATGCTCTTCTGCTGAAAGATATAGAGGACTGGACTTTTATGCCAATTTATTGAAAAACGAAGGCAGCTTTCTACAGCAATTTTCTTGCTTTCGAGTGAGGCTGCTTTGACAGGCTCAACTGAAGGGCCTAGCTTGGTCCGTTGGTCCGGTAGAATTCCACATTATCATTATACAACACCCATACACCAATGGCGGTCCGACGGGGGGGAGGAGGGGGAATTTCCGGAAGTTACTTACATGGGTTATAAAAATGCAAGTGACTTTTTGAATTTCTAAATAATTAAAATACTTTAAATTCAGGGACGTAGCTGACGCGTATTTTGGGGGTTATATGCACGCAGAAATTATGGCCATTCCGAAAAAAATTTTCGGAGTGCGTGGCTGAAGCCACGCACCT